ATATATAGTATATATTAGTAATTCAAGATTGAATTATTTAAGCAACGAAGATCCAACTTCGACCGTAATAGGCATTTTAAATTTCTAGTATTTTTTTTATGTTGATATTAATTTTTTTATCGTAAATTTTGATTATGTAATACAATATTTAGTATTTTTATACTTAAAAGTACTTTCACAAATAAAACGAAAGTTCAAATTGTTACAAAGTATATTTATTAATAATTTGTTGCACTTATTATGTATTAAACTTAATATGATATTAACAATATATCAAACACATATTAAAGTTAAACTGAAACAATAATAAATCACAGTAATGAACATATAAACATTCAAATTATAAACAATGTATAATCTTTGGAAATGAAACTTTTTACTTAACGCTAAACTAACAGAAATAAATATTATCCGTCTCTATAACAAAAATAAATCATCTTAATTAAAGTAAGAAAAGTCTTCAAAATTGTTAACTAAATTATCAGATCTGTTGCTTTCGTTTTCAGTTTTGTATTTTTCAACCTTTTCTATTGCTTTCAAAAAATCTTTCTTGCCGAGCAGAAATTTATAGAAATCGACACAACTCATATCTTTAAAATTATATCTTATTTTAATGAGTGAGGAGACAGTGTGTGTGATCCCAACAAATTTCTTTCTTTCGTCCATTTTGTTGTATAATTAGTGAAAACATCCTCTTTACGTTTGCATTATGTGCTGGTATGCAGAAAAAATACCGTGCTTATATCTTTAATAATTCGGTACATGTATGAGCACTCGGAGTTTTAAAAAATTTAAGCCAAAGTTTACGAGTACAATGAAAAACCATACAAAATCCGGACCGCTTCAAAAAATCCGGCCGGACACTCTCCGACACCTTCAAAACAAGGACAAATCCGGGAAAATCTGGATGGATGGCAACCCTAAATATATGTATAATAAATTTACATTGATTTAAGTAAATTATACAAATCAGTAAACAAGTTCATAAGATATTAAATATTAATGTGCTAAAAACATTTTTGTTGATCCCGAACTAAGTAATACATGCAGAAATGTATAAAGGCCCATCTACATTGTAATGTTTATCGTAAGCTCCTTACGATGATTGTAACTCGTCGTAACAATTATCGTAAGCTCGTTGCAAGAATTGACTCTTACGATTACGATGTTTATCTGGCGACACGATAGTCAATGAGAATGAGGTTAGTGGCTACGTTTACACCCAGCGACCTGACAGCGACCTGACCTATATCGTGACCAAAAGTAGGTCTAGTTACCAATCGTTTACACCAAAAGAGATCTAAAACTTTATGGGTTCGTATTTAGTCCACGCTGGTCCGAATTACTGAGCCATCTATCGTATTTCGTACAAATTATTTCCATATAGCATTGTATATACTTGCGATTGCAAACATAACTTATTGAGGTTAAATAACAGTGTTTTTAAGTGTATTGCAACAATATATTTGAGTGTACGAAATGTCACATTTGCAACAATATATTATGTTTTTTCAACATATGGTTTTGACTAAAAATAGAAGAAATATCCTTTCTTTGAAAATTATGCGAAAAAAAATGTGGGACAGGATTCGACAACTGCGCAGGATGCAGAAAATAATGTTTATAGAGTATGTGAAGATGTTTCCTAACATTTTGGAAATGTATTTTAATATGATACACGTTGAAAAGAGCATATGGATGAAGCCGAGAAGCAATCATTTTTGGCATGAAATAGTGCTATGTACATATATAAATTCAGACTGGATAGAAAGTTTCCGAATGTCTGCAGAAACGTTCAATGATTTGTGCTTTTTATTACGACCTGCTTTGAAACCTAAACCGCTTCTGTTAAAATCAAGAGAACCACTATCAGTCGAAAAGCAAGTCGCTGTTGCTATATATAAATTAGCAAGCTGTGCAGAATATCGTGTTGTAGGCAACGTATTTGGAATTCATAAATCTACAGTAAAAAAATGTTTTTTTCGAGTTGTCAATGCTATAAATAATTTGATGATGAAAGATTATCTCCAAATGCCAAATACATACGAAGCTTCAGAAATAGCAATGAATTTTGAAATGGTATCGCACATTCCACAAATTATTGGATGTATCGACGGTACGCACATACCTATATTGGCTCCATCAGAGGGCTATCGAGATTTTGTAAATCGTAAGGCCTTCATATGTTTTACAAGTAGTTGTTGACGATAAATGCAGGTACATATTTACATTCATATTTACTAATAACAAAAATCGATAATTATTAATGTTATGATGTATTGTTTATAGATTTAGAAATATTTGTGTTCGTCATCCTGGGAGTACCCATGATGCCGCTGTATTAAAAGATTCAAGTTTGTATAGAAATGTTAACAATGTTATTCCACAGGTAAGAATAAAAACAACAATTAATCATTATATAATTAATATAATATTTATATTTTGTCATTATGTAATTTATATAAGCATGTATCCATATTTTTTATATTGACTTTATATAAGAAAGGTATAATTAATATTATTGTATACTTTTTATTGCAGGGTACAAGAAATATTAACGATTTAGAGATTCCTTACTTTATTGTCGGTGACCCTGCGTATCCACTGTTACCGTGGTTATTAAAAGGCTACCCCGGTATTGTAACAATTGAACAAGAATCTTTTAATGTTCATTTAAATTCTGCAAGAGCTCGTGTAGAAATGGCATTTGGCCGTCTGAAGGCACGTTGGAGAATACTCCTAAAAAGAATTGATGTAGATCATGTATTCGTTCCAAATATTGTAAGTTGCTGTTGTATTTTACAAAATTTTTTGGAGTCTAGGAACGAACAGTTTTTTCAACAATGGCTGAATGATGTGGTCGAAGCAGAAATAATTTATCCACAGCCTGTAAATGTTATTAACCAAGAACGTGATAATATCTCTGGATCAACTATTCGAAAACATTTAACAGATTACTTATGTAATAATTTTCCATTGCGTACAAGTGTTATAAGATAATATACAATAATATACGATATTCAAGGTAAGATAAAAAGAATTTTAGATAAGAAACATAGGTCTAATATTTATACTGATGTTTTATTTTTATTATACTTTTCTTATATAAAGTCAATATAAAAAATATGGATACATGCTTATATATATATATATATATGTACATATATACATGAAGATAGTTATATTTGTTTATTTACTTTTTGTTGGATATTACCATCCGACCATACCGACGTCTCTTATATCGGTGTCAGCAGCGACACCTTCGAGGAACCACAAAGTCGTGTCACTGCATTACCAATCTATCTATTTTTATTATTCATGTTCTTCTACACTGATCTATCGACATCTTGTTGTCTTGTCTCGTATATTAACTCGACTAGTTTCACTACGCACAATAAAGTACGTCATATTAGTTTGTCTGTCAATTCTGTTTCACTTCGTTTACAACCTTCCATCTCCAACAAATGGTTATGGGCCCAGGAGAACACTATAATTGCAAGTGTTACGATTAAATACGAGTGACGCAGATTCTCGCGCGTGATATAAGTGCTCAGTGCAAAGAGGCGCGTGCATCTCCACACGTTCGCTTCTCGAGTACGGACAGCATCTTTCATATCCGAAGACACACGTTATATCGAACTGTCGAGTGACTTTGTGGTCAACGCAAACGAATATAAACCGCGAGTGCAAGCGAATCTTTTGGATCTCTATTCGCGCGACAAAGCCGTTTTTTTTCTCTCTCTCTTCGTCCGGCCGCCATTAGCATCGTGCATACCGTCACACGACAAATCGCGCGGGGCGTCCACAATAATTATCGAGTTCAAGGAATAACCTGCAAACGCAAAAGTGAGCAAGATGTCTGTTACAAACATCGTTAACTCGACTCGTATTGAGACCTTGTCGAAAGACAATTATGACACTTGGCGCATACAAGTCGAGGCGCTACTTGTAAAAAACGACACGTGGCAGTACGTATCCGGCGAAAGACCGCAACCGACCGTCTCAGATGAAGCGTCGCGAACCGCATACAACTCGTGGGCTGAAGACCGCAAGGCGAAATCAGACCTTATCTTATGCATCAGCCCATCCGAGCTGAAACATGCCAGGAATTGCACGACATCCAGAGAGGTATGGACAAAGCTTGAATCGGTGTACGCATCGAAGGGACCTGCCCGCAAGGCGGCGCTCCTGAAACAGCTGATACAAAGTAAGATGCAAGAAGGAGACGACGTACGTATTCACCCGTTATGACCTTTTACGACATTGTTGATAAATTGCAAGCGTTGTTATATAGCCTATCTTACAGCTATGAAAATTTTAGATGCGCCATAGAATCGCGGGATCAACCCCCCGATGCAGAATCGCTGCGAGTAAAAATTATAGAGGAATACGACTCAAGGAAGCAAAAGGCCGCTGAGAAGGATCCGAATGCCTTAATTGCCAAATACTACAACAGGAGAAACAACAACTCGAAACGCAACGTGAATGTCAGGTCATCGGACAAATATAGGCAAGAATCTAACCGACGAACCAAGTATAAATGCAACAAATGCAACAAATTTGGACACAAGGCGTCCGAATGTTATTCGAAAGTAGACGCAAAGGACCCGAACGTTGCTTTAACAGAGGAAACGTACCTTTCCGCTCTTCAAACGGATATACAAGAAGATGCAAAACTCTGGTGCTTAGATTCTGGGAGCACAACCCACTTATGCAACGACATGCAGTCTTTTGCAAATACCGAGATGACCAAGGCAAGAATAAAATTGGCGAGCAACGCTATGCAAAGGCCACCGCAAAAGGCAACGTGAAGATTTCCACCTCTGACGGAAAGATGAACAAAACGATAACGTTGGAAAACACACTTTACGTTCCGAACCTGAGAACGAACCTCCTGTCTGTATCAAAGATTGTCGACAAGGATCACACTGTAATATTCAAGAAGGATGGTGCAATAGTTAAAAACCCACAGGGCAAAATTTCACTCATCGCTGATCGAAAAGGGGCCCTCTTCCTACTACGCGCAGGAGGCGAACAGTAATGCGCTGCCGCGGAAACCGCCAAAACTGACGCAGAGATTTGGCATGAAAAATTGGGTCACCTAAATTACAACGACATGAATCTCATGTTAAACAAGGTGTCGGGCATGAAATTCCCGAGTATTCGTAAATCAAAACCTTGCGAAATCTGTTTGGCTGGCAAAATGTCAAGGCTACCATTTCCATCCAACCAAAATCGAGCACGCAACGTACTGGACATCGTTCATACGGACTTGTGCGGCCCGATGTGCACAAAATCAAACGGAAATGCGGCTTACCTACTGACATTCACGGATGATCACACTCGCTGGTGCGAAGTATTTTTCTTGAAGAATAAAAGCGAAGTCACATCCAAATTCCTGGAATACAAATCAAGAGTCGAAAACTATACAGGAAGAAAAATCAAGGCAATCCAATCGGACAACGGAACCGAATTCTGCAATTCGGAAATGGACAACATCCTGAAGAAAGCGGGAATACGCCGACGACTAACTACCGTATATACCCCACAACAAAACGGCGATTGCGAACGACGCAATCGAACTCTAATCGAGACTGCTCGATGTATAATAATACAAAGCGGACTCGCACCATCTTTATGGGCCGAGGCGGTAAATACCGCCAATTAGATAAAAAATAGATGCGTCACGAGGAGCTTTAACAGCGCAACTCCATACGAAAAATGGCACAACAAAAGGCCGAACATTGGATACTTCGCCACTTTTGGCGAAAAGGTCTGCATCTTGGATAAATCTCCAAATAAAGGCAAAATGGACCCAAGAAGCATCCCAGGAATCTTCGTTGGATATTTTGAAGTGTCTAAAGGTTTTAGGGTATGGATTCCCAACTCGAAGAAAATTATCATTACCAGAGACATCAAATTCCTACAAGAAATCCAACACACCAACAGTGGGGAGGATATAATATGCGACGAGACTAAAAACGGCAGATTCATGCTTGGTGAAAATCAAGACCACCAAAAGGAAAGCATCATTGGACCAAATCATTCTTCAGAGCGCGATGAAACTCGTGATAACGTACCAGATGACAATGATCGAACAATCGACGATTCAGAAGAAGGGAGCGGCAACGAGGAAAATGAACAAATGCACGAAGAAATCAATTCACGCATGAAACGCGGACCAGGCGGACCTCGGAAAGCAGTTACCGGAAAACCTGGTCGCCCCTCGAAGATATATAACATGATACCATCTGACGATGCCGCTGATATATCGATTTCGGAAGATGACGATTGGCAGGATGCCCAATACGCAATGAACGCATCCGAAATACCCATAATAAATTACTTAGTGGACCGGATCGAAACGAATGGAAGGAAGCGATCTATTCCGAGATAAAGAGCCTGATAAGAAACGACACATGGACAATCGTGGAAAAGCCAACCAAGGCTCAAGTTATCGGTTGTAGAACCGTGCTTCGCAACAAACACGATGAAAATGGATCCATTGAACGTCGAAAGGCTAGAATAGTAGCCAAAGGCTTCACGCAAAGGCCAGGCATCGATTTTTACGACACATTTGCTCCAGTCGCCAGATTGAGCTCTCTAAGACTGTTAATGGCACTTTCAATGGAATTGAATCTAAGCATCGAACAAGTAGATGTCACGACAGCGTACCTCAATGGCGACATCGATGCTGAAATCTATATGGACAAACCAGAACACTTGGAAGAGATGTTAAGACGGATCGCGACCGAAGAAAAGGACATCAACCTGGTCAACGAGGCAAATAAAATGGCAAATAAAATGCTCTCGGATCTAAAGGGAAATAACAAGGTTTGCAAATTAAGCAAGGCCCTCTACGGATTGCGACAAGCAGGCAGGCAATGGCACAACAAGATTCATGAAACTCTCTGCCAAATAGGACTTACGCCATCGAATGTCGACCCCTGCGTATATTTCAACAAAACCGGCAACACGCTAACCTTAGTTCTCCTATATGTGGACGATATGCTCATAGCTTCATCCAATCCCAAGGAGACACGACGGATTAAATTAGAGTTGGCTAAAAACTTTGATATCAAAGATATTGGACCGGCAAGATATTGTTTAGGAATTGAAATTCGTAGAGATAAGAAGAAACTCATGTTAACGCAATCGAGTTATATCAAGGATACTCTAAGGAAATTTGGCATGGAAGACTGCAAGGCAGCAAACACACCATTGGCCCTCAGAAGCAACGAACACGAGAACGAGGACAAGGCCAACGCCCATGGAGAAAAATACCCATTTAGAGAACTACTCGGTGCACTTATGTACATAGCCATAGGCACCCGACCAGACATAGCTTATGCCGTAAATTTCCTTAGCCAGTTCAACAATTGCTACAATAAAGAGCACTGGATTGCGACAAAGCGAATCCTGCGATATCTAAAGGGTACCGTAAACCATGGTCTGGTTTTCCAGAAGACGAATCAACCTCTGAAGTCCTACGCTGACGCGGACTGGGCGAATGACCGAGCAGACCGCAAATCCTATACAGGATTGGTTTTCATTCTTGGAGGCGCAGCTGTATCGTGGGAATCTCGAAAGCAACGCTCAGTAGCACTATCATCGACTGAAGCGGAATACATGAGCCTGACCGACGCCGCGAAGGAAGGCATTCACCTCTCAACATTCTTAGGACAAATGGAATTAAAAAACCTGGCCAACGTGGAGATGTTCAACGACAATCAGGCCGCAGGCAAACTGGCTCGTAACCCAGTGTTCCATGCAAGGTCCAAGCACATCGACGTGAGATTTCACTTCATTCGAGAGACTCTCAAGCATCACCCTATCAAGCTGAAGTATCTACCCACGGAGTTCATGACAGCGGACATATTAACAAAAGGGCTACCCAGTACAAGGCACGGAACACTCACCGAAAGACTCGGGGTGATTGAGTTAATCTCCGACTGTTCGGATTGAGGGAGGATGTTGGATATTACCATCCGACCATACCGACGTCTCTTATATCGGTGTCAGCAGCGACACCTTCGAGGAACCACAAAGTCGTGTCACTGCATTACCAATCTATCTATTTTTATTATTCATGTTCTTCTACACTGATCTATCGACATCTTGTTGTCTTGTCTCGTATATTAACTCGACTAGTTTCACTACGTACAATAAAGTACGTCATATTAGTTTGTCTGTCAATTCTGTTTCACTTCGTTTACAACCTTCCATCTCCAACACTTTTATACCTGTTTACTTATATTATGATCGCTCATCACATGAAGATGAAATTGATGGTGAAGGCATTGATACATTTGTTTCAGGAGAATTTATGAAAGTCGGTGATGGTAAAGGAGAAGCAATTGCAGTAAAAGATGAAGATGATGTATGTGATAACGAAGGAGATGGTGACAAATGATATGGATACACATTTTGAGCAGAAGTTGACGGGAATGTATGCATTGGAACTGAAGTTGGTACAAACTGAGGATATTGGAAGGATATTGGAGTTGGGTGATTGCATTGTTTGTAATCCTTTCATAAAGGTCTCCAAAATTAAAGTCTGATGCTGGTGTTCTTTTTCAATCATTTCCTTTTCCCATTGTCTTTGATTATCCAATTGCACGTTTATTGCATCGTCAAACATGCGCATTTGTTCCTTCATAATTCATTTTTGCATTTCTTCGGCCTGTTTTTTCGCAAAACTTCTGCAAAGTTCTCCGCCAACTTCATATGTGTGTTGCGACCTAAAAATACATAAATAAATAATATTTTGTGTGAATGTATGTAGAAACAAATTATTAAAATTTATATGATGTACTTATTAGCATAAAATAAATAAGCTTTTATGTAATGCAGTATTTATAATGTTTTATTTTATATAACTTTTAATTTAATATTAATTTATAATTATTAATATTTATAATTTTTTAAATAAAAGTCGTGTGTAATATTTTATAATACTGACCCGTTTTTCTTTTTTTAGATAATGTATCATTTACAACCTTTTCATTTTCCTTATCTGTTAAATCAGCTTGGCATTCTGCATTATATTCTATTTGAACCGGTTCTTGTTCAAGTAATTCTATAACTATGAGTGTATCATTATTATAAATGTAAATAAGTAGTAAATAACAAACGGATTAATAAACATTATTCACATGCTTTGAATATTGTCACTGGAATCGATACCGATGTCAGTAATAGCTTGGACTGATGGCCTTCCGCAATAAAGTTGTTCCATTTCATCATAAAAAGCAAATGTCTGACGACTAGCACTTGTATTATTGTTTCTTTTACATTTAAAATACATTTCTTTCAAATGTTTCAATTTTACTTTCATTTGTACGCCACTTTTTATGAAACCCATCTCTTTCATACTAGGTTCCAATGAATTATAGATATCTATATGTTTGTGGCGTTTCCCATCCATCATCTGTATTATTCTCTTTTCAATACAAAGATTGAGAAAACATCTTGTTTCTGTTTCAGTCCAATTGGAACCTTTACATTTTTTTTCAGAGCTATTGAACAAAATATTTTCGAAACATGAAATGTGAGCTTTATCCCGACAAGTATTAGTTTAATTAGCAAAGGTGTACTTACGAATTGGAATCTTTCTGAGAATCGCCGCATGACATTTTTTGCATTTTTTAAAAATACTTATGTTCTTTGAACAAATTAACACTAATAAGTCTTTTTATTTTATCTAGAACTAGATAACAAACCGGCTTAACCTCTAATTCCACAAAACAGAAGTGAAGAGTGAACTTTATCGAGCAAATGAAAAAGCTTTAGGTCGCGTTGCGCGTTTACACCGAGAAAGCAGACGACCTATTTTAGGTGAGGCCGTTAAGAAACGCGGCCTGACCTAAAGCTAGGTCGAGTCATCTACCAAATGTTTACACCATAGGACCTAAATAATTTAGGTCGAATTTGAGGTATAGGTCGCGGACTAAGCGCGCGGTGTAAACGTAGCCAGTGAAATCCACGAGCAACGCGATTGATGAGGTCAATTGATAGGCCTAAACCCATCACCTTCGGTAACATTTTTTTCATTATTCTTCATAATAAAAAAACGATACTTACAACGTTTTATTTGGCCCTAACATTCTGTTTCGCTATTAACTGCGATACGATCTTATGTAAACAAACAATGTTTACAGTAGCTTCTATTCTTATGACTACAATCATTTACAATCGCAGCGTTACGATAGATGTAGATGGGCCTTTATAAAAAAACATACTAGATTAGATCGTAAATACAAGATAAATAGAGTGAATTCTTGACATAAATTAAAAATATTACTCTCAAATATTAAATATTAAAAATAATTTCAATGACGCTCATATGTTATAAAAATAATTGATTAAATCCAACCCTGGTATAAAAAATGTAGATGAGCAATTTTTATATCTGGCTCAACATCTTGTCCAACCTTATACGTTTTGATTTATTAGAATCGAGTCATTGTATATCGTTTATGTTTATAGATAAGCAATTTTTAGATGTACATAAATAACAATTTTATTATTCCATATTATAATAGAACAGCACGCTTCGACTTAACTCAGTCATCATCAGCTGTAAATGTACATAATATATTCTTTATTTAATAACTAATCTAACCCCTCGCATAAAACATTATTATAAGGATCATCTCAACAATTTTTAATACTGTCAACAATAAGGAGTATTCAGCTATAGTCATATATTTAAAATATAATTACAATATATATAGATGTTTCGGTCAATATTTAACCATTTTCAGTACACACACACAAATATAAAAAAGTTATTACAATAAAAACAATTAGATAAAATCTCAGGTCCAAATGAAAAAGTTGATATACATATCGTCAGCAGGGATGCCAGACCAGTGACGGTTTACGACATCGAGACTAACGCCATCAGGCGGCGGGCTGGCACAACCGATTGCAACACAAGCGCGAGCCCGTGTCCGTGTGACTACGTAGTTAGAAGCGTGCCGACTATATCGTCGACTTGTTCGCACTCGTTCTCATTATTTGGCCTTGTCGGCGCGTTGAGAGCGAGAGAGAACCTGCCTTCGCTTTTGTAGCTTCACTCAAGCGACCGAAATATGTTCTCTCGGCCGCTCGGCGTGTATCAAGAGGTATAGAGACATTCTAGATAACATACGGAGTGTCCCTTAAACTGAGTCGAAAAGTCCTCTATCATTTTGCAATTTTCGCAATAGTTAACAAGATATTAATTACTAAAAATTGCAAAATATTGGACTTGAATAATTTTTTACTCAAATAATATCAACTTTACAGAAAAACTGCAAGAGACAAAAATTATTTATTTTCTTCTCCTAAAGTTCTGAGAATTTTTTCAGAATTTTTTTCAGAATTTTTTAATACCGTATTTTCTAATGTTGGTAAAAAAAGAAAATGCAGTTCTTAAAAGTTGATAAAAAATTCTGAAAAAATTCTCAGAACTTTATGAGAAGAAAATAAATATTTTTGTCTCTTGCAGTTTTTCTGTAAAGTTGATAGTATTTGAGTAAAAAATTATTGAAGAATTATCCTTGGCACTTTAAACGATATTTGAACATTTACTATTGATAAATATCAAGAAACGTCAATAATCGGTTAAAGCCAGATATTATAAATACAATACAAATTCTTAATTTCTAAATTTAATTATCTCAGATGTGACTGTGCGCCGTTCGAACGTTAAGCACAATCAATCTGAGATGTTAATAATATAAATGCGATGAGGCGCCGAAACATTCGGACATTCCTATATATGAAATAATCCCCCCTAAATTAATTTTGTAAAGAACTTATTGCGAAAAATATTACCTTAGCCAGGATTTACTATTGAATTATACATTACAGTTTTTCATTCTTTTCACTTTTATTGAAGTTTCTATTCATGTACATATATGTACATATTGTTGCTCGACGGAAACCGCGAGAAGATGGTGGTCTCTTCTGTCAGGAGGGAAATGTAAAAAATTATATTTAATCTATTAATATAACTATAATATTTATCTGAAATATTCAGGGTTGGGTAAGTTAATTTTTTCTTTTAATTAAGTTAAGTTAAAGTTAACAACCTTGAAAATTTAACTTAGTTAAGATATAAGTTAATGTATAATGAAATTAATTGAATTAAAAGTTAAGTTAATAAAAAAAAGTAATTGAAAAATTAGAAGTTAAATTTCTTTCTATTTTATGATTTCAGAGTCTTACAAATAATGGAAATGACAAACATATCTTCATTTAGAATATACTCAATATTTTATTTAAACTTTTTGTTAATATATACTGTTATATATATATATTGATTTCAACCTACCAAAAACTAGATACATTATAATATACCGTTTTTGCTAGATTGAAATCAATATATAATGTTAATAACATATAAAAACAAAATTTTTAATTAAAATATGGAGTATGTTCTAAATGAAGTATATGTTTGAGTCTGAGACTTAACTTCAACAAATTTAAATAAAAAGTTAATAGTTATCGATAAAATGTAACTAAATAAAGTTAAAAAGTTAAGAGTCTAAAATGTAACTAAGTTAAGTTAAAATTATTTAACTTTTCAACTTTTAACTTAACTTTTAGCTTTTTAACTTGGCACTACCCAACCCTGGAAATATTTGTATTCAACAGGGTTGCGTAGTGCCAAGTTAAAAAGCTAAAAGTTAAGTTAAAAAGTTGAAAAGTTAAATAATTTTAACTTAAATTAGTTAAATTTTAGACTCATAACTTTTTAACTTTATTTAGTTACGTTTTATCGATAACTATTAACTTTTTATTTAAATTTTTTGAAGTTAAGTCTCAGACTCAAATATATATTTCATTTAGAACATATTCTATATTTTACTTAAAAGTTTTGTTTGTATATAACATTTACATCATATATTGATTTCAATCTA